AGAAATAGGCGATGTTGTTTCGCCTAGGGAAATAAGGGATTCTGATCATCTCCACTAAAAAAATAGTGGAGAGACCACTATATAATCATAGTCATTGATTATCTAGTTGATAATTATGACTTTTTTAGTACAAATTAGGAATGAGTGTAATACACAGAGGTATGGTAAATGTTAGATTTAGATTGTATCATAACCGTCTAATAAATAATAAACGATTGAGATTAAAAGTAGTGGTCTCTCCACTACTTTTTTGTAGTAGAGAGGATCCAAATCCGGAAATAAGTAGCTCTAGATAAGCAATATACAATACTATGTATATAGTTACGATCAATAAAAGGGATTTGGATACTCTCCACTACAAAAAAGTAGTGGAGAGACCACTACTTTTAATCTCAATCGCTAATTATTTAGTAGGCGGTTATGATACAATCTAAATCTAACACTTACCATAACCTCATGTATTGCACTCATTCCTAATTTATACTAAAAAAATCACAACATCAACTAGATAATCAATGGTTATGATTGTGTAGTGGTCCCTCTACTATTTTTTTTGTAGTGGAGAGGATCTGAATCCAAATAAAAGTACCTATACGGCGCGTAAAACTTACTATTAGTAAGCCTTGGAGGATTAAGAGTGCTAATTGCGACGGAGTCGATCAAGGGTCCACAAGCCGGATCGTCCTCTTTCCCAGGATTATGAATCACCAAATCCGCGGCCTCAGCCGCCGCCTCGAACGCCACGGAGAGTCCCACCCGTTGCCTGCTATTACGTCGTACTGCATCGGAGCACGCCGTGCTCCTGCTCGCACGACACTGTTGAGCCGCTCCTCCCGTGCGCAGCGTGCCAGCGGCTCGCTTGTACGTGACGGAGTAGAACGCCCCGCCGCCGGGAGCCTGCGTATTCGTCTTGCGCCTGATGGCAGGCCTCGTTTCCGAGGCGCCCAAGGCGAAAATCGCCCCCTCGGGGACGGCGGAGGATCATGTCGCATCCTGCTTACTGGCCGGATTTTATTTACTCCGACGAAGCCGCGAGATCTGCATTTGGGGGATGGCTTTTTCGCGACCGTTCTTTGGTGCCATGGACGATGGGCTGGGTGATGGCCCCTTGATTCAAAATTGCCGTTTTGAGCAATAGCCCTGCGAAGTAACGTTAGTTAAAAGTTGTCAAAATACAAGAAGCGCCTTGACAGCGTATTCCTTCATCTTTTATATATATATATATATATTATAGATAATATATATATATATATATATATATATATATATATATATGAGAGAGATTAGAGAGCAGAGAAAAAATGACGTATTACTTGCTACCAAGGCATCATTGGTAAGTGATTGTGGACACATCTTGTCGCATACATTCAAACCTTGAAGATGGAGCTCACCACTTCAAGGGTGTGATGTATGGACAAGATGTGTTCCCATCAACTTACAAGGATCATTGGCCCAAAGTTATACCCATATTCCTCATATTATATATACTATACTATATTATATATATATTGCAGAAATATGGCGTATGCCCTTGGCTACAAGCCACAAAAAGTTGTGTTTCGGTATGTGGAGGTGTCAAATCTCCTTTCCAGCTCATTCAAACTGTCGGAACAAATTCACATGGCGCTACAGTGAGTGCCGCATGAGGATGCTGACAACGTGTCACTACCAATACACAAAAATTTGCTGCTTGGTACCAAGCCGATTACCCATATTTCTCTCTTCTCTCTCTCTCTCTCTCTCTCTCTATATACTATATATATATTATATAATATATATATATATATATATATATAATAATATATATATAATATAATATATATATATATATATATATCAAAACTCCTATCAACTTTAAGTTGATGTCCACCAAAGTTCCTAGCCAATATAATACAAGGCATCCCTAGACAATATTGACGTGAGGTTAAAAACTTTAGGTGCGGACACACTATTCCCTATCCACTTAAGTTGACACAAGTGTTCATATATATTATATATATATATATATACTATATATATATTATATATATATATATATATATATATTGTTTTTTTGTTTGGTGATTGGCCAAAGTCAAAATCAAGAGAGAGCTCACCGTCGGTGATCGATACGGCGACACGGACGACGGCGCACAGTAGCAGAACAGCGGCGTAACGTAACATATTTGTGAGAGAGACGAGCGAGGTGCAGAGAATGTGGGTGATCTCTGAGGGCATGGGTTTATATGCACAGCGGTGGGCAAGAGAGCCCCCGGATTTGGTAGTACTATCGAAACTGCCACTCCTCTTCCATGCATGACAAAGTGCACGTGTCATTTTCTAGTTGGCAGGGGGAGAATCTGCGGCATCTCAGTTCATACCTCACAATTAAATTTTATTTGACTTTGGGCAACCAACGAATATAGTAAGCCATGATGAAGGTGTCCCTTCATGTTCTTGGCTCGTGTATCTTTGATCATGTGACTCGTGTCTAACATTATAGTTATGATCTGTACATATTGATGATTAGTAGTTTTGGGACCGTTTGGTTCGTAGACAGCATCTTGATGTATGTAAGAAATTTGAAGGAAACATATTCAAAATTTTGTTTGCGTGTGATGGATATTAAAGATGATTAATTTGCATGAAAGATCAAATCCGAACTAAACTTGTTGCGCGAGTTTTGTCGAAGATTCGTGATTAAAAAAATCACAAATTCAGCTGAAGTCAACACAATTTTAAAGAATTACATTTGATGTATCTATTCTACGTGGCAATGTCAAATTCGTAGCATAAAAATGACAAACAAACAACTCATATACTAAAAAAGCCATGATTTTTAATTTGTGGGTCCCATCTTCAAGTGCAAGGTTGCTAAATTCATGGAAACAACCATCATCATTAACGTGTATCATATTAGTTCAACCAAGAACGTGGAGAGACACACTTGTCTCTGTTTTTCATATCCAATATTATTACGAACTGTTATCACTTAATATTTGAATCCGGATGTGCAAATACCATGTTTTGAAAGGTCAACTCGGATTTTTATGTGCGTTAAGGCTGCGTTTGGTGAGGGGTTAAATGAAGGGTTAAGGGGGTTTAACCCTTTATTAGTCTGCCAAACACAAAAATAAGACAAAGGGTTAATAAACCCTCACGTGACCCCAAAAACCAATTTAACCCATCAATAGGAGGGTTAACTATTCCTGCTAAGAGGGCGGAACAACGCTTGTTCCGCCTCCTCACGCGAGGGCAGGCAGCGGAATTTAGAAAAGAAATTTCATCCGGATCATCGTTCGCTCGCTGTCTTAGTCACTCTCCTCCTCTTTCTCCTCTCTTTAGTCAGCACTCACTTTTCAAGCTCTCTAATGGCGGAATCGATCGTCGATCGCCGATTTCGGTGGGGGCAGTCATGAAAAGGTTGGTCCTTTCTGCTTGCATCTCTTGATTTTGGGCTAATTTTAGTGCGAGCTGTCGGTTTGGGGAGTGGTCGGTTGTTGAGATTCAGAATTATGGCTTTTTCGGTTAGCTTTTAGGGTTTTGTTTCCATTTTTTGGATGATAACTGATCGAGGTCCGATCGTTGTTATCTGAAATGGGGGTGAGAAGCGAAGGATTTAGTGGCGAGTACTTGGGGCTTCTTCTCCGAGAGCAGAGGAGGCAGGAATCGATCGATCGAGAGCGAGAGCGAGAGCGAGAGCTTGACATGTATAGGAGTGGTTCATGTCCTCCGACCGTCGAAGGATCCCTGCAATCGAGGGGGTCGATAATGGAAATGGGTTCTTGAATGAAGAGTTGCTTCGATCTGATCCGGTCATAACAAGCGGGTTTGAATATTATGGTGCAAATATTTGATCATTCAATTTTAGATCATTTATCTTAATTGGTGTTTTACAGCTTATGGTTCTACTATTTTCTAATTTTGTTTTATAGCATTAGTCAGCAAAATGTTTCTAATGGAAATATTTTGAATCACATCGTGCCTGCAAACCCCCTTAATAAATTGTTTCATGTTGCTAGGAGTTTAATGACGCTGCAAAAATTTACTTTGAGCTTAATCTTGCTAAACTATATTGAGTACTCGTATACTGATTGAGCTGTTGCAATTGTTAGTAAACTGTTTTTTTGTAGAAGTGGATAATACTCAAACCCACTTGTTATGATTTCTTTTTTAAATTAAATTTTAAGTACTGGTTGTAAAACTCATCTATTAAGTAATTCACCTTGACAATATGTTGAAAATTTCCGATTTTTGTTTGAAATTGAGTTAGATATTAGTTGGTTAGCAGTTTAAATCAGTTCTTTTGGTCCTTAATTTTGTCACGCTTAATAATTTTGAGTGCATTGTAAACAAGTTAATGGGCGTGAGTTCTTTGCTGATGGCATACTCATTGTCAAAAGTCCATGTGAGTTTGTATTATCACAAGTGTTGTGAAATTTAATGGGTAGAATTAGTTGGAATGTAACTTCTGGATTCTGATGTTGTCTTCGTTTTACGTGGAAATGTAATTTAGGTTCTATTTGGTGTTAAAAGGCACATTCTTTTGACTGGAATGTTAGCTCTTTGTTTTTAAGTCGTAAATTAACTCGGCTACGTTTGTCCAGTTGCCCTGAATTCGATATGAGAATCGGCAAAGATAATTAGTTTGTAATGGTAAATTGTTTTAAAGTTTTTGGTGTGTAATCATATTATCTGGAGCTGATTGCTTATACTCAATTGTATACCAAATTTATCAGAAGAAGATCTCGCAAGCAATATCTCTTGATAATTGATGTTGTTTGTATGCAGATGTATAACGAGTCATTTGTAAATATGATATGTTCCTTTATGAGTTTACCGACTTTACTTTTGATACAATTTTAGGAGAATGTCATTATTTGGAAAACAAACTATAATTTTATATGGTGTTATATCTCAACATTTTCATTGTAATTACTCAGGTATCTACTGTTGGGTAACATCTACATCATCAATCTCGGAAAAACTTGGGAGTAACTTCAACTTGCTGCCCGGGTTATTGTCGCCATTGAGAACCCCCAGGATATAATTGTGCACTCCGCAAGGCTATATGGCCAGAGATATGTCCTGAAGTTTGCACAATACACCTGCTCTCAGATTACGCTCATGGTTCGGCCAAATCTATGTATATTTGTGTTCCTTGTTTTTTGTTTTGACCAGTTTATATCTTTATCTTTCTATTGGACAGGTTGATCTGTTCTTCTATAGAGAACCTGAAGAGGCCAAGGAACAGGAAGAAGCAGAGGCTCCGGTGGCTCCTGATTATGGTGCTGTGGCTGAGTTCATAGGCATGGGTATGGCTACCAGTGGACTTCTGACCAATGGGCAGACATGGGAGCTGGTGCCCCTGTCTCTTCAGTTCCTGCTGGTGACTGGACTGCTGTTCCAGGTTAGCTCTTGCCAACTGTTGATTTTTAGTGTCCATAATTTTCTTCAACTGGTTTATTAAGATCATTCTGCCAACATATTTTCAGAGTGTTATTTTAATAGCAACATACTTTCAAAAGCCTAACGATTTCTTTAACCTTGCAGAATGCCACTGATGGCAGCCAACACGGTTAAAGGATATCCCTCCCTTGTTTAAAAGAAATGTTGTTGTTGATGCTTGCTTAATATCCTAACAAGGCTCATGTTCATACCCCGGTAGATTTGTTTATTTACTAGTATTTCTTGATGGATGATTAAACCTATTACTAATTGATAATATCCAAGTATTGTTCTCCTGAAACGATCTTTTTTGATATATTGATAAATTTGTTTCTGTTCTTCTTTCCCCCTTTTTGTGAATAGCTCTAGTAGTAGTTGATGGATGGGATGCCGCTCTTGCTCCTCCAGCAGAAGGTCCTGTTGCTGTTGCTTCTGCGGTGGCTGGGAAGCTTCACCCCATGCTGCTATAGGCTGGGAATAGATCTTTAGTTATCATGGTGAATTGGGGTCTGGATTTATAAAGATCGTTTAGATGTTGCGTGAAAATTGTTATTGTTTATTTAAGTTTTCGACTTTTAGGCTGCTGGACTGTTTTTACTCCTTTATTACTTGTACCTTTTCTCTTTCTTTTTCTCTTGAAAACATGGATGAGAGTAAATTTTGTTATATTTGACATCATGGTTGTCTTCATGTGTAATTTCCTGTTATATTTGAGTTAATTTTTTGTGGTTTTATCTTTTTAAGATTGGTATGGTCTTTACATGACCTCTGGTGGCGACCGTAACTTTGACCTGTTATATTATATGCGCATGCATGCTTATTGCATACTCCAGTGACTTTCTGCATCATCCTCCAAAAACGGTCGATAATAGAAATCGATGAGAGAAATACAAAGCTCACAAGCGTGCAATTTTTATGCAGACTTATCGTTCAATTTTTATGCGGACTTATTGCTCTCATAAGGTAAATAACGCGAAAAAGATATTAATGTGACAATTAGTTATAAATTTTCAATAAGGACGAAAGGGGCATTTTAAAAAAATAATGAGATTAATCTTCTTAGCCCTTCTTCATTTGCCAAACATAAAAGACTTAACCCCTTGTCTTAACTATCGAATCCAAACGGAACTAGAATATTTTTAATCCTTCACAATGGATTAACTAAGTTAACCCTTCTCCTTAACCCCACCTCCTTAACCCTTAGCCAAACGGGGCCTAAGTTATTAATTAATTAATGGGATCTCGTGTGTCTTTTTTTGTGATATAACTCGATCCTTGTAATAACAACCGCTCATATGCTACAGCTAATTTGCTTAACAAACTCCTTAGTGTCTGCAGGTGATCTTTTATGTTTCCGACCTACTAATATTAGTAATTGATTCCACATGATCCGTTGTTTCTTGAAGTTTTGAATTTGGTTATATCTACAAACTAGTTAATTCCTTGAAGTGTTTAAGACTCTAACGCCTCGTTTGGTACGCAGGATTGGAGTCAAGTGAGAATGGAAAGATGGTAGGAATGGAATGGAATAGATGTAAGAATGGAATGCGCATCAATTCGATCTCACTCTCATGTTTGAGCGCGTTTGAATGTCAATCTTATTCACATTCTCATGTTTAGTGTCATTTATTCACAAGTGGGAATAAAATTTAGCTTTCTAATAATGTCCTTATAAAAACATAGAATTTTAAAAACATAAAAATATTTTAAAAATGACTAAATAATTTATTTTTATAGAAATGATATTTTCTCTTATAGAAATAATTTTTTAGTTGATAGTTATCTTTTGGTACACCACCTCAGCAACAATTTTGGACTTTTTGCTTACTAATTAAAAAATAATTTTCATAGAAACTATTTTTGATTATAAATAATTATAATTTCACATTTCTAACTTCTAATGTTGCATGTCTACTACGTGTACGAGCAGCTAATGCTACTAGCATCACTATGCGCAAATGTATACAAAAGACTGAATTCCATATGCATGCTACATGATTTATGACTGAATTTCATGTGCATGCATGAAGAGAGAGGTTAGAAGAAAACACTAAATTTTGAAGGATTAGAAAAACATGTTAACTTCTAGTCTGTATATAAAATTTTTATGAAATTTCAAATGTACATTTAACTTTCAAACAATTGATTAGGAGTAGAAAACATGTTAACCTAGAAAGTTTGAAGAAATAGAAAATATGTTAATCTCTAATCAAAATATAAAGTTTCAATCTCATCAATTAAGCACATTATTTCTTGTTGTGAGTGCTTTGAAAAAATTACTAAAAAGATTAGGCACATATACTTCAATGGAACTTCAAATCATACATCCAAAGATCAAATATTTACTAAACTAATTGCTAATAGATTACGCAACCGAGTCGCCAAAAGATAAAAAAAATAGATGTAAATATTAGGTAAATATTAGTCACACATACATATTTTAAAAAGAAATAATAGTTACCTAACCGAGTCACATCGAGGCGAAGATGAGATTTTTTTTTCTATTGCAAACGCGATGAAACTAGAGCAAAGTCAAACAAATAATAATATTTTAATATTTTACATCTATTTATATATTTGTACGAGCAACTAATGATATTATTTCTATAGAAATAATCTTTTATATGGGAATATATATATATATATATATTCGTATCTTTTAAGGAGTGTATAATCAGAATTTATTTGTTTATTTTTATTCCCACTTAAGTGGGAATTTTAATCATTGTCAAATGGTTGGGAATAATAATTCCCACATAAAGTGGGAATTAATAAGAAGTGGGAATAGCAATTCTAACGTCTAAAAATACATCATGTTTGGTATGCATGAATAAAAAGTTAGAATTGCATTCCATTTGTACTCATTGCCGCGTACCAAAGGAGGCGTAAAACTCAATTATTCCAATCGTATAATTTAAGTCTTAAAATTATTTTAAGATTGCCGACTCTCAAAATTTGCCCCAAAATAGGATCTCAATGGATGTTGCAACCCTAAGCTTGTCTCACTTTCCAAGGGCATCTAAGTTGTCATTATTCTGTCCACGTGCAAACTAATTTTGTAATGGGGAGATGGATAATTACTCTAGAAGAAGAAACTCTAATTTTTAAATAGAAATTGACGCCTCTTCATGGGGGTTTGTCACCTAATTAATGTTAATCCTTATAAATTTACTAGGTATCTTCCTATCAACAAAAAAGCAATCCCTTGGGATTCTGGGAAAACATGCTACATTATCTTTACTTCTTGGCCTTAGTGACATAAACCTCTGATATGTGATTTTAGAGCAATGCATGTTCAAATTTTAGTAGTCGACGTCACAACTAGATTTGTAAAGTGGATTAATGAAAATACCGCTTTCGCCAGTCTAGCTAGGTTTAGCCCATGAAAGATTATTCAACATTTGGGAACACGTAAGAGTATAAACTATAACCCTCAACTCTCATGATAATTCTAGAATTCTATTGCAATGATAAGTTCATTTAACAACTTTTTTTATTTGATATTGCTATTTCTTATTTATGAAATACCCGTATTATTTTCTACACCAGGAAATAGAAGGATCAATAATGAACCTACAATCAATATTGGTTTGAGATGAAAAATGTTGATTGCAACTTATAAGTAATAACTGATATAACTGTTATAGGAAAAATTGTTTTTCACAGTGGTATTTGTTAATCAACCAGAAGAGTGAAGGAGGAAGAAGAAAAGAGAAAACACAGATACAACTACAAGCATTTATATGGCATTTTCTTATATTCGCACAGAAACT